TCATGGGAAACCATTAACAAATAAGCTTTTTTTCTTTATTTTTATAGCACATGGGACGTTTTAGGTGCTGTTGCCTTAAGATGTTAGATTTTAAGGTCATAGACTTTGATAGTACACCATAGTGCTTTTTTTCCTGCCCGTTTCTCTTTTGAGTGTTCTGAGAAGAAAGAAAAATGTGTACCCAGAGATGCAGTGATAGGGACAGGACTCAGACTTCTTACCTAGTACCTTGGCCCTCAAATATAGTTCTTCTCAGTTAACATATGGAAGAAATTGCTCTTCTGCTTCATTAGTGATAAGAAAAAGAAACTCATGAGATAAATGGTGTTACTGCCTCAGTTGTTGCACCTGAGAAGCCAAGATAATGTGTCCTATTCCTTTGAGTGACTCACAGGAGTTCATTAAAGTGTCGTCTTTTTCCTTTTTTGGAGGGGAAGGGGAATAATTAATATATGTATAATCTTTACTTAATGGCTCATTTTCTTTTTATTTTTAAACTATAGATTAGAAAGAAGTGGGAAAATATCCAAATAGGTAGTAAAAAGCAGATAAAAATGAGAAAATAATGGAACATATGTTCCTGGAAATATTTAAGACCTTTTATATTTATAATTAAGGAGCCCTGGTGGCGCAGTGGTTAAAAGCACTTGGCTTTTAACCGAAAGTTTGGTGGTTCGAACCCACTAGTCGCTCCAAGGGGGAAAGATGTGGCAGTCTGCTTCCGTAAAGATTTACAGCCTTGGAACTCCTTTGGGCAGTTCTTCTCTGTCCTACCGGGTTGCTGTGAGTTGGAATCGATTCAACGGCAGTTTATAATTTACCTCCAGATTTTGTTGCCGAGAATCAGATAAATACTAAATGTCCAACCTAAGCCAGGTAAGCTCTGTGGTAAAATAGAGCTGTGATGAGATAAAGGGAGTTGGCTGCCTGAGAGTCCCTGGATGGGCCGGAGAAGAAGCCAATCCTGCAGGGTCTCAAGTGTATAAGGTTTTAAGAACAAGCACAGTTCTAGGGTGTAGATAATACTCAACGTATTTTTGTTCAATGAGAAGAAATGGGACAGAGGCAAAACAAGGGAGCTCAGAACTGGATAGGATTAATCTGATAAATGCCATGAACTTGAGCCAACTTGCTGGCAAGTCAAGTGCTTTCCTAGAGAGCAGTTTTTACCAGAAGTGCAGGACAAGCACCCTGGGCCTTGGTCAGAAAACAATTCTGTTTGTCTCAGAGCCCAGCGTACTGAATTGGTGCTCTCAGACTAGGTCTGGGTGTGGAACGACAATCGATTAGCAAGAACGTGAACTCAGTCCAGTGTAGAAGAGGTTCCAGGTTGGAAAAAGAAACAACCCAGGTTTATAATGTGTCCCCCCCACGCCAACTTGAATATCTCGAGGTTTATCTCCACACAGTTGGTTTGTACTCTAAGATTTCCTCACATTCTAGTAAAGATTAACTTTGTCCTTGAGTGAACTCACCGTGTGCTGTAGAAACAAGCATTTGAGCATGCCCAGGATTATTAAATGGAAACAAGCCAGTGAACCCTGGAAATCTGCCCTTTTTTGGCTCATGAATGCTGGCAGTAGGAAGTTAAGCCAGAACACGGCTGGGGGTCATGTTGGTTCATGTCAAATGAGGTCAGTAGCCCAGTGGCTAGGTCTGCTCCAGAATGCTCAAGGATGTGGGCTTTGAGCCTCCTCTCCCCTTCTGTAGTGCGTGAAGTTTTCCTTCCCTACTGAGAGCAGGGACTTGAGCCTCCTGTGGCATTTTAGAGAGGTTCTGGTCGTGATTGCTCAAGTGCTGTACACCTTTGTATGGATATGGAGTCTGCCATTGTATGGAGGATCAGGGAGCTGCCGGGAACCCATTCCCCAGCTCTTCTCTGTGGACCAGGCAACTCTGAGGCTCCCTGAGCCTCAGCTTACTCTCCACAGGTGGCCTAGCAGCAGTAGCTGACAAGAATGAGGACTGGGCAAGGGGTGTTCCTGCTGCCTGTGTTCCCATATTGATGACAGTGGGCCCACAGGAGATTACTTATTTCTATTATGGCCATGTTTTGATAGGAAACTTTGCACAAGGCTAACTTTATATTATCAAAAAGTAAGTTTCCTTTCAAAGTAAAGTTAGTATATCTCAGTAATCTTGTGTAGTTTAACTTAGATTTTGTTAGAAGGAACCTGCCCCAGATTATAATGTCTCAAAGTCATTTGGAGCCAGGCTGCCTCTAAAATATGAAGGTTGTGGTTTATCCGTCTTTAAAACCTCACTGATACTAATGGCTAGGTCCTTTAATTTACGATAAACATTCACATTATCACTCCTGTCAGTTCATTTGAATCTTTTAATCTTCCAAAGCATTACCTTTTCTTTTTTTTTTTTTACCCTATCCATTCTTGTCAACAAGAAGAACTGAGTAATATTTTATTTATAAATGCTGTTTACAACCTGAAATCCCCCTTTGTTTATGAACAGATTCTCTAAATCACTCTGTACCTTTGAATATGTGCTTATTCTAATGCTTAAGCCTCAGAGCCATCTGAGAGCCTGGCCCGTCTGTGGGTGGAAGACCAGGGTGTGTGCGTGTCCAGATCGCTGCAGCCCATGGTGTTTTCCATTTTAACTTGCTAACCTCTCTACTATAAGTCACTTTTACACTAGAGTGACTTTGTGAATATTAATTATATTTCTTCTCAAATATCCCTTTTATATTAAATGCCATGTCATATGCGAATATTTTCTTTTATTCAAAAGCTTCTCTCATTGTCTAAAATGTTTAACTTAATTTCCCCCCAGGTGTTTTTGCTTTATTCTCAGTGACTTCTAAAAATTTGCCCATGAGCCCTAATTCTTTAACTCTGTGAAATATTTGTTCTCCTTCGCCCTCAGACTCTACAGACATTGTTTCTAAAACTTGATTCTAAGATTCCAACAACCCTGGATCTTTCTCTGTGTTCCTGAGGCCCGGGTACATAGTGGTACATTTTGTAAGGTGGCAAGATGGAAACCTTGGAGTGCTTTGCCTAAACAAATTGGAGTTACTTAGGAATTGGTCCTGGTACTGAAAAGTAGTCAATTTTTTTTTAAAGTCAGGAATATAGGAAAATGTCTTGAAGGATATAAAAGAAAAGTCTAGTTCCCACTCTGTCTCGTTTAAGCCGCAGACAGCCTGGCTTTCACCATACTAAAGCAAATCCATCAGTGAGGAACAGACTGACTTTTATTTACTGGCTCTAGTTCTATGCACCAGAAATGGGCAAAAGAGACCAAACAAAGAAATAGGGAAAATGAGGCATTGAAGGAGAGCCAGCATCGGATTTCGAAGGGATGAGAGCTTCCGCAGGGGCAGGATGTGCCTTTCTTGCACTGTTTACTCTGAATTCAAAAATAGAGGAGGAAGAAAGGTAGATCTTGCTGCAGCCTGAAATGGATACAGAACATACCAGAGCAGCATAGAGTGTAATCAGACAGTGGATGTAATTATGCAAATGTGTGCATAAATGGTTTTTCTATGAATAAATCGTCCGCATCAACCTTAGCACTCAAGGTTAAATAAGCGTAAGGGCATGGTATGCTGGCCACACAGTGACTTCTCCCAAATGGCAGCGAAGAATGTTATGCTTCACTGCCTTAGTTTCATAGTCGCACCTGAATGAACTTTGAATATTAGAACCTCTCTCCCTTCCATTGGAAAGGGCACCACCTTGCTCTTAGAGGAGTGGGTAAGGGGCTAGTTTGAGGATAAATGTGCCATGGTTGTTTTTAATCTGTTTACCCTAGTGACACTTCATGCTAGTTTTATGTTTAGTTTATTTTTAATTAGACTTCACCTGGAATGTGTTTTAGTTGTAAGCTTTTGGAGGCTTGCTTAAAGGAAGGAAATACTTAAATTTTCTTAGGGAAAACAAATGCCCTTGCTCATTCTTTTAAAATAAAAAACAAGAACTTCAAACATATTCCTGAAGGCCCTGGGCCCAAAAGTCTGATTAGAATGCTAAGATTCATTGAATATTAGCGTGTGGTTTTCTTTTTCACAGAACGTAGATAAAATAATGTGGCTTATGAGTAGGAAGTATTTGTTCTAGCAAACTGCTGATGTGAGTATTCCATGCCTCCAAACACGGCGTAGGATAATCAGTTTTTTTCCTCACCCTGGGATCTATTACGAGAACCCAGTGGAGCATTTATTTTTACTTCAAGGAGTTAGAGGCATCATGTAAGGCGTAGGAAAGCATTAAAAATACATTTCCGGTTTCATAAGAAACTTAGAGCAGCTTTAATACGCATAGATGAATTCAACCTATGTTCCAAATACTTATTAGATGTTTAGTTCACCTGTATTGAGCTCCCAGATTGTCCAAAGCAGCTGTGGACAAGATGATCCAACGGTCTGCAGTTAGTATTTAGGGATCAGTGAACAAAGAGTTCAAGTGAGCAAGTTGGGGGCCTCTTCGTGGTGGGACAAAAGAAGTAAGTCTGGAGAGAGCTCTGTGTATCACGGTCAGCTGCCTAGAGCAGCCCTGCAGGCACTCAGGAGTAACTGGGAAAGGCTGCACAGTGTCGGAGCTCGTCATCCCTCGGCGACGGCAGACTTACTGTTGGTTGGTCAGATTGGACAGTTTTGACCAACACAAGTGAAAGTTGGTGGGTCTCTGGAGGATGGCCTTGAATTGTGATCCTTAACTTGATCTTGGCTCTGTGCCTAAAAGGACCTTTTTTATTTTGCTAACCAAAAACCACTTTAGAAATACCATAAGTAGAGTGTGTTGCCTGTATCTGTTAGAGAATTTCCTCTAGCGCCTTTACGTTAAGGATGAGATTTCACTGTAAAACACTTTACGTGTACCATGAGCACTTCTTATAAACTTCCATTCCTTTGGTTTTGTTCATCTAAACTAGGAAGTTAAACAATTCAAATCACTCCATTTCTTTTGGCTATTTGTAAAGAAGCATTTATGTACACTGTTGCATTGGTGTGTTTTTTTTTTTGTTTCTTTGTTTTTTAGGGAAAAAGAAACAGTGGTTTCAGACAGTGCTTCTTTGGGAGCCAGAAACACTGCAAATTGACAAAGCTTTGTCCGGCCATGGGGTACACATTCAGACTGGCTGCTCGGAATGATATTGGCACCAGGTACGACGCTTCCTTGTCTTCTTGCCGTTAAACATTTGTGTTGTGATTCTGAGCCTTCTCTCACATTGCTGGAAGGCTTAAGGAAGCCTGCTGCCTCCACAGTAACCAACTTGAGATTTTCCAAGAGGGAATCCCAGTCAGAGGCCAGAAGACCCCTTCTGAGGGGAAAAGTGTGTGGCCTCTTTGTAGCCTTACACGCTGTAATGCAAAGTCCCCACTAGGGGTCCTTGAGAACCAAGAAAACTAAGATGAAGGTGATGGTACAGACTTTGAAAGGAATCCCTCATGGGACGTTCTTTTTTCGTAACATGCCTTTTTCTTCTTTCATCACTTTAGCAAGCTCTTTCTTAAGTCACCTTTTTCAATTATGTGTGAGCGTTTCCTGATATAAAAAGGGGTGGTGGGCCAGCCATTGTTGTCAAGCCCAGGGCAGGTACTCCCAGGATCGGAAAAAACCTGGACCATCCAGGATATCCGTGTGTGCCTCCTGGCTGCAGAAGAAGGCAACAGCGGGTGGACAGCGAAGCGTCAGTTGGTTAAAAATGCTTTGAAAAGGCTGTGTTCCAGTTGTGCTTGCTGGGTAACTCTTTTTTTTTTTTTTTAATTGTACTTCAGGTGAAGGCTTACAGAACAAATAGTTTCTCAGTAGTACATACATTGTTTTATGACATTGGTTAACAGCCCCACAACATGTCAACCCTCTCCCTTTTTGACCCTTTTTTTTTTTTGGTGAAAATATACATAGCCAAAGATACACCGTTTCAAAAATTTCCACATGCACAGTTCAGTGACATCGACTACGCTCTTCCAGTTGTGCTGCTATTCTCACTTTAGATGAAGGCTTACAGAACAAAATAGTTTCTCATTAAACAGTATACATGTTCCCCTATGACAATGGTTAACAACCTCACAACACATCAACACTATCCTTACTCAACCTTGGGTTCCCTATCACCAGCTTTCCTGTCCCCTTCTGCCTTCTGGCCCTTGTCCCTGGACTGCTGTGCCTCATTAGTCCCATTTGGTTTTACGGGGCTGTCCACTCTCTGGCTGAACGGTGAACCTCGGAAATGACTTCACCACTGAGCTAAAAGGGTGTCTGGGGGCCATACTCTCGGGGTTTCTCCGGTCTTCTTTAGGCCAGTAAATCTGGTCTTTTTTTTGTGAGTTAGAATTATGTTCTACATCCTTCTCCAGCTCTGTCCAGAGCCCTCTGTTGTGATCCTGGTCAGAGCAGTCAGCGCTGGTAGCTGGGCACCATCTAGCTGTACTGGACTCAGTCTGGTGGAGGCCTTGGTAGCTGTGGTCCATTAGTCCTTTGGACTAATCTTTTCCTTGTATCCTGTTCTCTTCATTCTCCCTTGCTCCCGAAGGGATGAGACCAGTGGAGTATCTTAGATGACTGCTCACAGGCTTTTAAGACCCCAGACGCTACTCACCAAGGTAGAATGTAGAACATTGTCTTTAGAAACTGTGTTATGTCAGTTGAGCTAGATGTTCCCTGAGACCATGGTCTCCACAGCTCTCCACTGCTAGGTAACTCTTGATGAAGGGAAAAACTGTTTTCTTTCATCACTGCTTGTTAAAAACCTTTCTTAAAGATTGGGCATGTCAGTGGTTCCCAACCTTTTTTTCAGCTTGAAAAAGTTCTTTTCAACATCACGAGGTTTTTGCAGATCTCCCACCCCTACATATGATAATCATTGTAATTCTGGAGTCCACTGGTTGAATAAACCCATAATGATAAAAAGGTTCTGTGGTTCAAGAATTTTTAAAGGAATTGGAAACATCTACAAACTTTTAAAAAATAGCACTGTATATATTTGTAAAACGGTTATTTCTTCAACAGACAGTTATTTGTACTCACATGGATTTGAAGACTCCTGGGTAGTTGTGGCTCATAGCTTGGCAAACATTACACCATGCCATGTTTCTGCTGGATGCTGTTAGGGGAAATTAAATTCTTAAGACTATATTGTAATATATTATCCTGTACCTTGGTATACTTTTCTTGTAGCAGAGTATGAGGGATGTAGGGCGCACTGGAAATTGTGGTAGAGAATGTCACCCAAAGGATTCATGCCTTCCTTTGTTTGCTGCACCTGTCAAGCCCCAGACTGTCCAACTCCAGCAAGTTGAGCAGTATGTAGGCTTATACTTTCTCTTTTTAGGACCCCAAGACAGCCCTCAGGAATACCTTCAAGTGCTCCTGAATGTCTGTCTCACTGTCTTTATTTCTCTACAGTGGTTACAGCCAAGAGGTAGTATGCTACACATTAGGAAACATTCCTCAGATGCCCTCTGCACCAAAACTTGTCCGAGCTGGAGTCACATGGGTCACGTTGCAGTGGAATAAACCAGAAGGCTGTTCACCCGAGGAAGTAGTTACCTACACCTTGGAAATTCAGGAGGAAGAAAATGTAAGTTCTACAGATTTTGTCCCCTTGCGTGTATTCTGCATAAGTCAGTATTGTCGTAGCTGCAGGGCATCATGAAATTAGATTGGCTACGAGAGTTCAAAACCAAACTCTTAATTCCTGCCATTACTACTACTACCACTAGCAGCAACCTGTTCTTTCCATGGTCTTCCCCATCTCAGTAAATGGCATCTCCATCCTTTAAGTTGGGGAAGCCAGAAACCCTTAGCATCATCCTTGACCCCATATACAATCAGCAAAACTTTTAAAATCTTCTTTCAAAATAGATCCAGAAATCTGACCATTTTTACCATCCCCACAGCTACCACCCTTTTATAAGCCACCATGGTCTCCCCTAGGTCATAGCAGTGGTTCCCAAAATATTACCCCTTCACTTTTAATACACTGCAGTCTATTCTCCACACCAAGCCTGAGTGATCCTGTTGAAGTACAGATGAGATCATGTCACTCCTCTACTGAGAATCCTTCATGTCTTCCCATCTCTTCCAGAGTAAAAGCCAGAGCTCTTAACAAAGTCTACAAGGTTCTTCATGATCTGCTTGTGCATTTGCCCTTGTTCCTTCCACTGCAGTCTCATTAGCCTCGTGGCTGTTCCTTGCACGCACCAGGCATGCTCTGGCCTCAGGACCCTTGCAATTCTTATGCCCTTTGTGAAGAATGCTCTTCTCACACATCTTCGGGCTTATTTCTCTCATTTCCTTCAGGTTTCTTATCAAATGTCACCGCCTTGGAGAGACCCTCCCTGACCACCCTGTGGAATAGCACACTGTCCAGTAGAACTTCCTGCGATGGTGGAGCTATTCCTAGCCACATGTGACTGTTTAGCACTTGATATATGACTAGTGTGGTATATGACTGAAACTTTAATTTAATTGAAACAACTACCTGTGGCTTCCATATTTAACTCTGCAGCCATAGAAAATAGCATCTCACTTTGCCCAGCACTCGATTCTCTGACCCAGCTTTCTTTATCGTCCTTGCTCCTAACATCACATGACATGTTTACATAGATACGTAGATTTTTTTAAATTGATTTCTCCAGCTGACATGTAAGCGTCTTGTGGGCAAGACTGTTCTTGGGCAGTGCTGGGCTCCTAGAGCCTGGAAGAGAGTCTGGTGCACAGAAGGTGCTTGGTGATATTTTTGATGTGTGAATAAGTGAATGAATGGACACGTGTTAAGGGAATACTGTTGAATTCTGTACCTTCTTCACCCAAGCTGTCCTTTCTCCCTTGACCAGAAGAGGACACTGTGTGGTCAGAAACCTCAGCCACGGTTTATTGCAGAGCACATTGCAGCCTGACCAGGAAGACCTTGATACAGAGGTTTTTTCCATGACAACATTTTTAAATAAAAACAAAACCATACAAACTGCTTTGTCACATAGTACTACTTGGTGGTTAAGTTCTTATTCGAAATGCTGACTGGGTAACATGGAAAAGTTTCCTCTGTGAGGAAAGCATATGGTGACATGGATTCCAAAGCAAATCCACATTCTGACGAAGACAGTGTTATTCTTATGTAAATTAGTATTAGCCTCGGGACCCAAAGCTTACAGTAAAGTTGACCAGGCCCAGGAGAAATATCAATATGATAGAGTTCAATTTTTATTTGAAGCAATAGAGTGCTATCCACAGCACAGTGGGCTTCTGATACTCTTTTGCAGTAACTACCAGACCTCTGGCCGCTGGTGATGGTGGGAAGAGGCAATATAAAAATCTTATATACAGAGGTATTTAATGCCCAGATTTGATAATACTGATTTTTCTCTCTGGCTTTGCCTTTTCAGGATAACCTTTTCCACCCAAAATACACTGGAGAGGATTTAACCTGTACTGTGAAAAATCTTAAAAGAAGCACACAGTATAAATTCAGGGTGAGTCAGTCCTTTTGGTACCTGAACTGCTTAAAATGGAGCTGGTTTATGTTTCACCCATTTACCATTTCAAATGGTTATATAAGTTAAAAACTTTTAATTCAAAGCACTTTACATTTTTAAAACAATGTTTACAAAACACACATCATACTTTAATTTTAAAATATTTGTACAAGAGAGAAAACTGTTGTACTGTAATAAATTGCATTACAGCACAGCCAGGTGTCCTAGCTCGGGAATACCAAACCAAGGGGTGAGTGCACCTGTCTCTCACCTGCACTTCATACCTTTCTCTTAGTGCTTCTCCTCTGAATGAAGCTTCTCTTTTACTCTCCATTCTCCTTTGCTCTTCTGCCCATTTCCTCTCCCCTTTTTATTTTTCTCTTCCATGACTTCTGTCCCCCATAGACTGTGCCTTGGTCGTTAAAAACCAGTTGCCGTGGAATGGATTCTGACTCGTGGTGACCCCATGTGCGTCAGGGTAGAACTGTTTTCCATAGGGTTTTCAATGACTGATTTTCAAAAGTAGCCCTCCAGGTTTTTCTTTTGAGGTACCTGTAAGTGAACTCGAACCTCCAACCTTTCTGTAACAGCTGAGGGTATTACCTGTTACACAACCACCAATAATGTCACTAGAGGTCCTCTGTTTTAAAGCCTCAGATTTCAAAGCAAAGAGAACATATCTTAAAAGCAAAAGAAAAGCATACCACTTTGTAGTCACTGAGAGAGAAGCAGTATGCTGCCTTGTGTGCTGCAGCAGTGTTTATCGACCCTGCCCGCGGCCATGGATTTTCTCATACGACAGTGTGCAGTTGGGAGAGAGGGTTGTCTTCTGACAACTGGCGGTTCTGCTGAAAATTGGGGGTCAGGTTATGTTGTGTGGTACATGGTAATCAAGTAATAAATAACTGAGGAGCCCTGGTGGTGCAGCAGTTAAGCACTCTACTGCTAACTGATAAGTTGGTGGTTTGAACCCACCAGCCACTCCAAGGGAGAATGATGTGGCAGTCTGTTTCTGTAAAGATTTACAGCCTTGGAAACCCTGTGGGGCCATTCTACTGTGTCCCAGAAGGGTCACTATGAGTAGGAATCGACTCAACGGCAGTGGGTTTTAATAAATAGCTGTCAGTTTATCAAATGGAATATGTGACTATTTGGGGAAAATGACAGTTTTTGCTATTGTGAAAAAACCTTGTTACTCAATATTTGGTATAAACCCCGTTGCCATTGAGTCAGTTCCAACTCATAGCAACCCTATGGGACAGAGTTGAACTGCTCCCTGTAGGGTTACCAGGGAGCAGCTGGTGGATTCAGACTGTCAGCCTTTTGGTTAGCAGCCGAGCTGTTAACCACAGCACCATACTGAGTTGGTAAATATCTTCAAAAACATCTAAGTTGCTGGCTATGAGCACATAGCCATACTGCTAGCATTTCTCCACAAGATGGCAATGCTGTGCTCTTAAAAAAGTGAGGTTATTTTTATCTGCTCCCCCCTCCCCCATATTTTCTTCTCATAAAGCAATACAAACATGCTGGTTTTATGTCTTTTTGAAAATGTCTTTAGCTACAACCCACCTTATGGTTTTATTTTTAATTGTTAACAGCCAACTATACAGAAAGTAAGTACTCCATGAAATACTAACAGTCAGTATTTGAATTTGAGAGAGGAAATGTGTGTACATGTGTGTTTATGAATGTCTTGATTTTGCCATGTTAAAAAGTCATCGATGATTCAATCCCTGATATCTAAAGCATGTTAATGTTTTCTTTTTTTAAGTAATATTTTATTGAATTTTTTGTGAAAGTTTACACAGCAAGTTAGGTTTCCATTTGACAATTTCTGTATAAATTGTAGTTACATTTATCACAATGTGTCAACATTCTTTTAATTGTGTTCTCTTTGTTCCATTTCTAGTACTCTAGGTTCCCTACACTCTTCTCATCTTTGCTTTTGAGTAATTGTTGACATTTTGGTCTCATACAGATGATTTTTAAGTAGAGCACGGATCTTATGGGTAATATCCTTTATTTTGTTAGCCACTCTGATATTTCACTAAAAGGTGATCGCAGGGGATAGGCTCAGTTCTAGGTTTAAAGAATGTCTCAGGGTGATTGTCTCGGGGAGTCCTCTGTTCCCTGTTGTTCCAGTTTGTCTGGCTTTTTTAAGAGTTTGAGTTCTGTTCCCCATTTTTCTCCCATTCTATTTGGAACCATCTATTGTGACCCCAGTCAGAACAGTCAGTGGTGGTAGCCGGGCACCATCTAGTTCTTCTGGTCTCAGGGTAGATGATGTCGTGGCTCTTATAGACTTGTTTGTTCTCTGAGCTTTTGTTTACCTTCTTACTGTTTTGCTCCTGAGGAGTAGAGACTAGTAGTTATGTCTTCAATGGCCACTCGAAAGCTTTTAAGACCTCCAGTGCTTCTCACTTCACTAGGATGCAGATCATGATTTTTGTGACCTATGTTATGCCAATTGACTGAGTTGTCCCATGTGACTATTGTCCTAAGCTTTCAAACCCAGAAACCAATCTTGGAAGGTGTTTTCTTATGTCTGAGGAGTATCCGTATTTGTGTCTTCAATGAATATATGTGCCTGTACCTACATATTTGTATACACATACCCATAGATACTTCTATCTGTTCCCATCTATGTACACACCTATACCTATATGTATACCAATATGCCTTTACCCACCCAAATGTGCTCAGACACTTTTTTTAACTTTGATTGTGCTTTTGCTCACTACATCCACATTTGGTGCCACTTTTCCCGTTACCAAAATACCCAGTCTCTACAATCTGAAGTATAACCACCACCCCCACCCCCCCGTAACCACCAGTGACACATTAGTCTCTCTCTATATGTCTATTGTCTTAGAAAAGAGAGATCACACAATATTTGTCCTTGTATGCTTAACTTACCTCACTTAGCATTATGCCCTCCAGGTCCATCCATGTTATGTTTCATGGACTCATCATTGTTCTTTATGGTTGTATATGTTAATATTTTCTTGATTGTGTTATAGCTGACTGCTTCTAATATGGAAGGGAAAAGCTGTCCAAGTGAAGTTTTGGTTTGTACGACAAGTCCAGACAGGCCTGGACCTCCTACAAGACCCCTGATTAAAGGACCAGTGACATCTCATGGCTTCAGTGTCAAATGGGGTATGTGTCACAGTTACTGCTGCTGCTGCAGCTTTTTTAAAAACTGACTAATTTCAATAGTGATGTATGGTGGATGGGGGGAGGACAATGTTGTTTATGGACGTTTACTACATTTGGATTACAAGTATGAGAACCATCCTGAGAATTCCACAAATTGATGAAATGGACATATTGTTTATTTTCTGACTTTCCTGTATTTCACGCTTATCCTCCTGTGTTCTTACTTATTGATTTTAACGTAGTAATCTCTGAATATATATGTTGTTCTTCAGTAGCTGGCCCTAAAAAATATAGCAGTGTTTAATAGAAAAATTGATTTATAAAGCTAATATTGAAAGTAAATTTCAAAATTGAGGTATGTCAGCTTAAGTAACTTTTGATGCAAAGAATATTTAAGGTGCAATGAATTGGGAACATTTTTGTTTTCATTGTTGTTGTTTGTACGGAACCAGAAGGCTTGAATAATTTTTCATATTTAAGTTTATCACATGATGTCTACTTCAGGGATTATTTCAATGAAATGAATGCAATTTGAATGTTGAGAGACATTTGTAATTGTATGTCAGGCTGTTCTGATGTGTATAATGATCACAAATGCCATATAATATTAACTATCTAATGTGCAAAAAAAATCTAGAATTCCAAAAGAGAATTTTTACCTGGCAGCCAAGTAATGTAAGGGGAATTTAAAGCATTATTAAATCATTACCGAACGCCAACCACTATTTGAAATCACCTAAGAGTGTTAAGACAGCATTGTTGGAATATCTGTTTACCTGGAAAGACAGATATGATTAAAAGAAACTGTAAAAATCTTGGTGTGCTTTTTGCACCTGGACTTGTAGGGCTTTATTCTCAGAAAATCCTGGAAAGTGCTGTCAACACTGAATATTACTTTCATTATCCATATGCTGTAATATTTAACTTTATAATGGTCATTGTAAATATCATTACTGAAGTAAGTATGTACATTATTGGAAATACTAGATGAAAGGAGGGGGAAGTAAAGTTCCTAAATCTATATGAGTAAACTGAGGCTATCTCCAGAAAAATCTCCTTTTACTTCTAGGAATATATAGGTGGCTGACTGATACTGTTTTATGCCATCAAGTTGATTCTGACTCATAGCAAGCCTATATGACAGAGTAGAACTGCCTAGGCTGTAATCTTTGTGGGAGCAGATCGCCAGGTATTGTCTCCCACAGAGCTGCTGGTGGATTTGAACCACCAACCTTTTGGTTAACAGTCTAGCATTTTAACCATTGTGCCACTAGAGTTGCGGAATTATACTGCAAGATGTTTTTCTTCTCAGAACATAAAACTCCCACAGGCACAAGGGTTAGCAGTAGACTAAATATCCAAGGTGCCATTAGTCTCGTGATAAGCCAGAACCTTCTACCTCAGATTGTCTTCTTGGTGCACATCTTCTTATTGATCCACGTTTCTGGTTTTATATCAAGTTCACTTGGGATATAAAGTTTGCTTCATTGAAAACTATGGTGGAACACGTTTATTCCATTCTAATGTTTTCTTTATTTTGTCAATAGATTTTACCTTTCTCTTTCTTTCCCTCACCATCTCTCAAAAGAATCTGGTCAGCTTTTTGATAAACTAAGTGAAATTAAAAAAATAAAATGAGAAGAAAAAGAAATCTATGAATATTTCATCTTTATAAAATCACCAAATATTAAAGTACAGTCTTCAGAATTCTCAGTTAATAATTCATTCAGATAGTTGTTAGAAAAATCTGTTTATATTTGAATTTTGTTAATGCCAACTCTGACATTTCTAACTCTGAGAACTGTGTTTACTCTGATACTATTCAAGGTTTTTTTTTTTTGTTGTTGTTTGTTTTTCAAGAAAGGAGTTGGGCGAAATAATAAATTAATTATTGTACCTTTTGGTCATTCCCAGAGTTAAGACATTATGATGTAATACTACTTTAGGTATTTTAGTTATTTTTAACCAATAAAAAAAAATCAATATTCTTTTGTAACTAAGAAGACATTTGCTTACTTTCCAGATCCTCCAAAGGACAATGGTGGTTCAGAAATCCTCAAGTATTTGCTGGAGATTACCGATGGAAATTCTGAAGGTAAAGTTTTTGTAAATTGTTTCATTCACATCCTGTAGCAAGCTCTATTTTCCAATACGTAAACATATTTATACTAATAGCTGGCAGTCGTTAATTCTAATGACAGAGCTATTACAGTAAACAAATCTTAATCACATATTGACAGTTTATTCTCTTTCACACACAGCATCAGCCCCAGACTTGTCTTGAAAGAAACATACATTTTTTTTCTATTTTCTGCATTATTTTTTTAAACCAGAATTGATAATTAATAGAATAAAATTAAGTTTTTCATCCCTTATCTTGCCTACTTTTTTCTGGAAATTCTTTTAAGCAGAGAAAGTGCTAGAAACAGTCTGCAGGGAGGATCAGTTGGAGACAGCAAGGGTGTTCAGTAGTCCACAAAAATCTATAATGATAAACAAAACACAGTATCTTGGCGGTGTTGTGATAACTTTTGTAACGAGTTTGGAAAATGTCTTTCCTTCTTCATTGTGATGCCTGTGATAGATTATTCACTTCTGGTTGCACTATGTGGATTAAATGGGACACTGTTGAGATCAGAGTCCTTAGATAGTACTTTTTTTGTTTTTTAATTATATTCTTTCTAAAAAATTCTTCTAGCCCTTGATAGAAAAAAGTATAGTTGTCTAAACTTTAAAAATGACATATAATTCCACTATTCTAATAATCCCTTTTATCATTAAATTTTTAAAAAGTAATACGTACATATAGCAAAAATAAAAGTGAAACGGTTGATGGTACCTTTTACAAAGAAGCAGTGCTGACATGTGGCGTGCCTTTTATCCTGTGAGACAGCCATCTGAGTTGTGTTCATGCAGAGTGGTGGCTGAGTATCGGATTGGAGAATTGGCCCTGTTTAACTCAAGTTCTGAACCATGGCATGTTTTGGACCAAATGATACTGAATCTTAGTAGCAAATTACATCACTCTAATTTTTTTCTTTTGTCTGTCTTATTGGGCCCTATTTTAAGCTGAAAACTTCAGAATTCTTTGAAATTGGTACAGCCATCCTTAACACAAGTCATATTCTGTGCTAAAAATCTGATTTTGTTTTTTCACATTAGAGAACTTACCTAGAAGAGAAGTCAGGTGTATGCCAGAAGTTCATGACGATCTAATTATGTTTGCGTTTGCATGGCTGTCTTGGACACTGATGGCAAATCAAAACTAAGTACCACTCTGTACTTGAAGCTAGCAGCTTTGCCAGTGCACGAGTGGGTGATTAATTGAATTGAAATCTTTTCACTCATCCCTGCTTCCAGCCATCTTTTCAGTATAGGTTTTTGGATCACTCATGTCAGGATGTTGTTGTTGTTCGTTGCTGTCGACTTCTGGAGACCCTATTTGTGCAGAGTAGAACTGCTCCATGGGGTTTTTAAGGCTGTGACCTTTTGGAAGCTTGTCTTCCAAAGCGCCTCTGAGCATGTTCAAACCGCCAGCCTTCTGGCTAGTAGTCAAGCCCTTAACTGTTTGTGCCACCCAGGGACTCCAAGGATAATAGTCTTTAATATTCTTTCTCATATGATCTTAGTGCATGTGACTTAATTGTAAATATAACCTAATAAGCAGTGAGGGAATTTGTGGAAGTTACTCTAGTAGAATATCATGGAATAGAGTAAAAGTATTTACCTTAAAACAACTCCATGCAGTGAAAGGCTTTTGTAAAATAACCTTAGAAACACTGCATTAGTGGAAGCCAAACAGAGGTGGAAAAACATCCCAGCAGCTCAGATTGTGGGGTGTAGGCAGTGGGGCCGGTTGAAGCAACCCAGGCTGCTTTTTCCCCCCAGCAGTGCCAGCCTCCTTGGGCACCCAGACCCCTCCAGCCATCCTGCTTTCTTTCTGTCACCCTGAGAAGTGGTCCGATAAACATGCCAAATGTTTCATCTTTCATTTGTCACCCTCCCTGGCATTTTTGTCTTTAAGTGGGGCTCCATGAAGATTGCAGGCCTATACCCAAGGATTCAAGCTATAATGGGAGGATTTCACTCACTGGACCTTCAGGTGGATAAGAGCAGGGAGAAACTCTCCGACAGTGTCCCAGACCTGCCAGGGGGCTTGTGGCTGAGCAGGCATCAACGTGCTTAGCTGTTTCGCACCATAAGCATGTCATAGCTTGCTCGACACCGTCCTTCATCTCCTTTTACCACTCAACCTCAGTGCCATAAACACAAATTTCATATGGTTTCCAGCATCCAAACCTCATAGTCAGCAAATGTGATAATGGTGGTATTAAGTGGTCTAGCCAGTAGTACTAAGTGCTAAAAATGACTCCATGTTATTTTAGTATTTAACTTTGTAACGGAAATGGGAAAGAGCCTTATGGCTATTTAAAAAAAAAAAATTAGGGATATTGGTTTTCGTGGAAAACTGCTTGGAGTTTTTTCTTACCAGTAATGTTTGATACTGTTACATTTTTACAAAAGGCACGCACTCACACGTGAGCCTTGTTTTACAGCAAATCAGTGGGAAGTGGCGTACAGTGGATCGGCTACAGAATACACTTTCACCCACTTGAAACCAGGCACTTTGTACAAACTCCGAGCATGCTGCATCAGTACTGGTGGACACAGTCAGGTTGGTTTTGTTTTCAGTGTGAAATAAACAGCTTTGGTCAACTTTGGACAGCTTATTTATAACATCAGAACAAAACTGTACCTTAGGTGAAGAAAAGGACCACACACAGTACAAGGGAGGTCAGCACAACTGGACTAAACGAGAAGCTAAGAAGTTTCCTGAATACAACTAAATGCTTTGAGGGACAGAGTAGCAGGGCGGGGGTCTGGGGACCACGATTTCAGGGGACATATAGGTCGATTGGCATAACAAAGTTTACTAAGAAAATGTTCTGCATCCCACTTTGGTGAGTGGCGTCTCAGGTCCTAAAAGCTAGTGAGCGACCATCTAAGATGCATCAGTTGGTCCCAGCCTACCTGGAGCAAAGGAGAATGAAGAATGCCAAAGACAAGGGAAATATTAGCCTGAGAAACAGAAAGGGCCACATAAACCAGAGACTCCATCAGCCTGAGACCAGAAGAACTAGATGTTGCCCAGCTACCACCGATGACTGTACTGACAGGCAATACAACAGAGTGTCCCTGACAGAGGAGGAGAAAACTAGAGTACAGAATTCAAATTCTAGTAAGAAGACCAGATTTAATGGTCTGACTGAGCCTGGAGGGACCCTGGAAGACATGGCCCCCGAACTCTCTGTTAGCCCAGAGCTAAAGTCATTCTCAAAGCCAACTCTTCAGACAAAGATTAGACTAGACTGTAAGACATAAAATGATACTCGTGGGGGTAAAAAAAAAACCCAGCAGCATGTAGCTACTGAGCACTTGAAATGTGGATAGTGTAACTGAGGAACTGAATTTTTAATGTTATTTCATTTTAATTAGTCACATATGGCTGTTGTTAGCTGCCACAGCTCACGGGGACACCATGCACAACGGGATCAGATTGTTGTGATCTGTAGAGTTTTCATTGGCTGATTTTTAGAAGTAGATCGCCAGGCCTTTCTTCCTAGTCTGTCTTAGTCTGGAAGCTCTGCTGAAACCTGTTCAGCACCATAGCAATATGCAAGCCTCCACTGACAAGAGAAGTGGTGGCGGCACTTAAGGTATGTTGGCTGGGAATTGAACCCAGACCTCCCGCATGGGAATGGAAAAGTGAACCAACACTGTGGCTACCACATCGAACAGCACAGTAGACTTACCCAAACGTTAATTCTTTATGATGCTGTCCTTCACCTTCTCGATTCCCAGTTAATCAGTCGATTCTCAGGACCCTTTAACACTTCAGTATTCATCAAATTGTATGCTAATTTGTATGCTAGAAGTAACATTGTAAATAAAACTATCAGAGTTTTTGTGAAGATTAAAAAAAAAAGAACAACAACAAAACTGTGATTTAGAAATGCATCTTGAAAATGAAACGTGCCATTATTTCACAGTGGGAAATGAAAAATTGTTGTTTTTACAGTTGTTCTATCAAGGACATAAAAGATGGGCCCAATTGATTCTCCACTGAATTGTGGTACTTTTAGTTACATTGGTCACTTAGTTATTTCTCAGAAGACTTTGGCATGACAGTTGAAATTGAGGGTGGTCCGAAATTTACATTAGCTAAATAAGAGGCCTTGTTGAGTTATTGCAATGAGGGGAAATTACAGACTTCAGAGTCAAAGAGATAGGACCTCCTGCACAGCTCTGCTGGTACCACATCTTGCAATTCTGTGAGAATTTGAGGCGCACCTTCTTCAAGATACTTTACTGCCATCTGCTGAAAAGTTGTAAAAACCATCTAGATCTATGGTAACTGAGCTGAATGGCGCCTCCTGCAGGTGTGCAGTACTCAGCTTGTACATCTACAGGCAGCAGCCCTACTCTTGATGTCTGCTATTTGTGTAACTTCAGTTAACACATTTGGAGCCTCAGTTTCAACCACACTGTGTTCTCACAGGTTCAAAATAGCTAACTAGTAAGTACACATGAAGCACTCTAGAAATGAGGCCATTGTTGTCTGAATGGCTCTAACTTACATTCAGAAAACTGGGTGAGAGGCGAGAGAGTAAAAGAACATTTTCATTGTAGAGATATTTAACGTTATGGCTTGAAACGGTTAATATTTAGAGAGTGAGAGAAAAGGTGGCTTGTCATCTCAAGCTGGTTTGACTTTTCAGGAGGTCCCTGCCATTGGGGTACCCGATTTTTGTTTTGTTAGCCAGCCACTGCACCTGCAGTGCCTGCCTGAGTTTATTTTCTTTCTTCCCAAGGATGGTGGCACTCTGATGCCTAGATTGCCCACACAGACAGAATCCTTTGAGAAGAACGTCCAGTTAGACCATTCTTAAGCAGTGCCAGAGCTCTCTGGAATGCCTCCCAGGGTGGAGCATCCCCATATCAAAGCTACAGAGTACTGTTGGGTACCAACTATGTGTGTGGTGCCGTGCGAGGTGGTACAGAGGTTGTGCTGCTTGCATTTGTAAAACGTGCATCTCTTCGGAACCGTTTCTCCTCCTTTAGTTTGAGTTGCATAGGTCTACCTTTTTTCCCTTTCTCAAAATCAGGGTCAACTTCAACACTACCAACCTTATATACAGCCAGATCCTACAAAAGTGAAGGCCTCGTTATTTTAGCATTAATAGAACTTGCTGGGTAATGTTAGACGCAGTTGATTAATACTGACTTTATTTGCTTTTCTGCTCTATATGTGGATGGTTGGCCATTTATGACACTATTTTATTTT